GATAGTCAGCACACTTGCCACTGCTCCACACTGGCGCTGCGGGGAAGGATGGCAGTCGTATTCGAGCAAGGCAGCTTGGTCTGCTGAAAAACGCCCCTAACTGCGCTTCCACAGTTGTTTTGCAGCTAGCGAGGGTGGTTTGGAGATGCCCTTCCGAGTGACGTGTCACACCACCCATCCCGTCTCAAACGGCCACTGCGATTTGTGACACTTCCCTGTTTAGAATTAACAAAAATCATCATGAACGTAGAAAGCGCTGTGGCATAGATGCATTTATGGCGGCTGGTGGTCCACAAGCGATAGATGACGACGAGTTCTTTAAAGTGAATTACGTGAGAATATGCTAATATTAATCTTTTTTGCATTTGTTAAACTTAATTTCCTTTTTCTATCAGTGTCAGTGAAAAAATTTCCAAGACGCAAAAGTGATCAACTTATACCGGCCCAAAAGTGAAGGTAGAGGGAAAAATCGGCTCCTGTTATCGCACCTCTGGACGAGAGGCCTTGGCACGAAAATCTGCCTCCTGTAATTTTTGCACTGGATGCATGTACAGTGCAGGGGCGGCCGTAAGTTCTTGGGATAGGTAGCGGAACTGCAAAGAGCTTGTCGATCCCAAGTTTCTCGGGGCAGAGATAACATCATGCAGTCGGAGAGGGCCTCAAGGTTACTGCAGCGGCAGAAATCCCACCACACCTATACTCCGGCAAACCCGAATCTGCCGAGACACCGCTTATATGTAAAAGAAAAGGCGAGCTACAATTGAACGACGCATGCGGCTGGCGTTATCTGGCGCGATAAAGTTGGAAATCTTAAAGTTGAGTTTCCATTTGCCACCTCGCGCTTAATCTTGTGCTCGAAACATTGTCTTCATGTCAAACGGGTCATTGCCATATTTGAAAAGAAATGAAAGGGACAAGTTGCTCTACTGGTGTTCGCAAGTCAATCCTGAAAATGTGCCCTGAACGTTTGTGAGCTAATGGGCAAATGCGCAGTGCATGAGCCATTCGACTCTACTCAACTATTCTGAATCCTGTGCAATTGACCAGCTGTTTCATGAACTCCTCTCCAGGGTCAATTTCTTTGCAGACTTGCACATTTGCCGTTGATTGAAACACATTTCGTCATGCATGTTGAAGCTAGTCGTATTAACACAGCAATTTTTGCATACAGAACAATTGTGCCATTATTTATTCCACGTAGATTATTTCCTCATGACTGTTTACTTACAAAAGAATACACGCAGTTTTCTGTGTAGCAAATCCAGTGGAACATCCAATTTCAACTTTAGCTCCGTTCTTGTTCTTTTGTACCTGCAACATTTTAGAGGTTTGATCATGATTTTCATTAGAATTGACATTATTAGGCTATTCCTCGAAAATTACAAAAAAGAGCTTCTCGCGCAAGAGCTCCATTTAACTATGACGAGGGAAACGCAATTGATATTCCTAGGAAAGGCGGCTATATTTTTCATTGTGATTTAGAGAATGGGGAGGCGACAGCGGTCCGATGGCAAATGACGACCAATTTAGGATATTGAGCAATGGAAGAGATAGCCAAATAGTCCAAATGTATGACTCTGTCTCTGTAAAAGCCACAGGTTCATTCTGTAATATCATTTACTAGTGCTAGTGTAATGAGTACATTCAAACTCGTCACCTGATTAAGACGAACGATGACTCTCTTCCTATTCCCTTTCGAAGCAAAGAAACCGTGAAAAATCGTTCAAGGGCGCCGAAGGGGTGTTCCCAAGCGGATAGCTGCGAAAGGCCACGCAGCTCCACATGTAAGACATTACAAATTTGTGTCAGCTGTCCGCGCGGGTAGAGACCATAGGCGACATAAAGTCCCTATCTTTAAAAATTTGATGGTGCTGAGACCCAAAGTTACTTGATAGCGAGCTAAGTGAGTGTTCTTTTTGAAACTTGTTTGTGATATCAGTCAGGAACCAAACATTTTCACTATAAGTTCCGATATATTATGAAGAAGCTAATACAACAGATTGTACTAAATGGTGAATGGAAAAATTACAAGGTGTTCGAAAGTCGATGACTCAAACCTGACATTGCTGAGTCGGCGCTGCCATTCCGTACAGTTTCCAAATTTAATTGATACAGCCAAGTAGAAAATGAAAAGGAAAGAACAAGCAAGAGGCTTTTTGTGCCTTTATGTCAAAAGTTTATAGAATTTGAACAACGTTTTGGATTAGCTTTTCTCTTGTTGACCCCCCTCCCTCCTTCCCCCGAGAATGGGTCGCAAAATTTGTGAAAATTGTCTACTCGAGTTATAAGCATGCGTAAGTGGCCTGTTTGTATTTGTAAACAATCAGAATAAACTTGTAGAAAAAATTTCTCGTATGGGCTTGCAATCTTATATATTAGGCTGGTCCGAAAGTTCTGTCCCACCATTTTCAAAAAACCGTAACTTCTTTCTAACACGATGTTTTTGCATGGCTAAAACCATATTGAAAACAGCAATTCATGCACTTTCTAGAAACATCTTGGTTGCTATCTATTAATCTGAAAGCAGAGATAAAATTGGGAAAACGAATCACTTCAGTTTTGGAATTTTGAGGCAAGCCCGTTAAAAATTCCGAAACTGTGTCAGAAAATCCGATGCAGCTAGTATCCTAGACTATTTAACTCCCTTTTTCTGGTTGAGCAAAGTTCGCATTGATCGAGCCGTTCTTCGAAAAGTTATGATTTTTTGAAAAAAATGTCAAAAAATCAATTCTCTTAAGAAACTGATTTTTTGGCATTTTATCTTGAAAATCATAACTTCTTCCAAAAGAGCTCGATCAGCGCGAATTTTGATCAGCTGGAAAGAGGGGATCAAAAAAGCCAGAATACTGCCTCTTTTTGATTTTATGGCACACTTTTGGATTTTTTAACGGGTCTGCTTAAAAATTCCGAAATTGAATATCCTTCTCCCAAATTTATCTCTGCACTTAGAACTTAGTAGATACTTAGTAGATGTGTCATAGACTACTTATCGTTTATAGGAATGAACATCTACAAACTATGCGCGATTGATATTCGACAGGTGGGGCGAGGTGTGGGGGGAATTTACGGCGAAGGGACGAGATGTAAGCGATTCTGATAAATGATTATGGTTGATCTGATTATAAGTGACAGCACTATGGTTAGTAACAAAACAGGCAATGCAAATAGCGGTCAACCCCCTATCTTCGTTGTACACTACCCTTAAAAATGTGAAGTTCCTTTACAAGGATTTTCGCAGGTTTCAATATGTAGCCAAGGAATTATCCAACACATAGAAACTAAAATCTTGGAAAAATGTTGATATTGAAAAGAGTTATGGCATTTTGAACTCAAAAAATTCAAATCGGACAGAACTTATGCAGCAACCTAATTGAGAAACAAAAAAATCTAGGTTTCGATAGGTTTTAGATCCGTTAATAACTGCAACTGAATCCCAGCACTTCGAATTATTTTTGCTCATGTTTTCGATTAAAATGACGCTTCCTTGAAAACTTGTAATCGCGCTTGAGTAAGTTTGTGAGGCACATCGTGTTAATATAAATCAAGAAAAAGTTATGAGTCTTCAAGTCACAGTATATAATATAACAGAGAACTAACGAATTACCATATACTGCAAATTTAGTGTCGTATTTGGAACTATTAGCCAGCTCTTCAATTATGCGATGAAGGTGTTATTCTAGTACATCGATAGGAAATACTGCGCTTGAAAATTTCTTTTTAATAATTTGGATCTTATTGATCATCAGAGGAATTGGTAAACTTATTCGGATGATGGCATACAAAGTAGAAAAGTATATGTGTTAAGGTACCCTAACTGTTTGAGAACGCGTTCAGTTGCTTATTCGGAAACTTTGATACACTCTTTGAAAATAGGTCCTTTTAATGTTGAGAAGGTAATTGGGTTTCAAACTCCCGATTATGAATTACTTCACTCAGATGACTAGAATGTACAATTGATCAACCAGGTTCTCCAATGTTTCGAAAGTAGCAGAAGTTTCCAAGCCGCCTCACTTGGGAAATGACAACTATGTTCCTCGTTTTTCTCCATTAGCTCAATACCTGAATCTCTCTCATTAGCTTAATACCTGAATCTATGTTCTCGCTGCTTGCACACCTCACAATGAGACCAGTAATTGGGTGGAGCAATGGGCGGGGCTTGACCTCTGAGGCATGGAGGTGCTAGAACCCTCCTGGGTGTGAATGCTGGTGCGAGGATGCTGCGAGGAAAGGTGCTAGGAACTCCTGCACGCCCTCCCAGGGGGGAGGGGTTAAGTGGGCATGCGATTACGAAACAATATTGGTTTCTGGAAATCATTTACTTTTATCGATTTTATCGTAATTGCAAAGTTCAAGCTACAGGGGGTGGGAGTTGGCACAGAGGGGATAAGTGAGCATACTGATGCTAACACAGTGGGAGTAGTGAATGGCATGTAAACGTGGGCACAGGGGAAGGTTGTACAGGGATAGAAATGGGATCTTTATCATAGTGTTTTGAAAGGACCGAGCGGAGCCGGGTAAGCCAGCTAGTGCTGAATAAAATATTTAACACCGTTGTTGTGGGAGCGATAAGTGATCCGCTACTGCAAGTCTAACCTGAAGCCGACTCAACTGAATGACACCTAGGGGACGACAACAACGCCAGTGGCCGTGTTCATCAACGAACCTTGAGGTTAAAATCTACCCCAAGGGTGTTATCACTGCATACCCGGGCTTACAACAAACATTCCTCAAGGGTTAGACCTGCCTGGGGTAGAATTCTACCTCAAGATGCTAATAACCCCTATTAACGAAACTACCGCAAGGTTGAACTTTACCTCGAAGTTCTATCTCATCGTTCGTTGACGTATACTGCCAGGACAAGAGAACAAATGAGTTTCAAACTGTGTGGGTATTTTTTAAACCATTTTATAGATGCGGACAGCCGTGTTCGGTATGAAGCTAACCTTTACTCATAGTTCGCAATGGAAAGTCACCTTTGAACCATTGCGTGAAGCACATACTCGAGCAGATATTTATTGAGCTTGTTTAAGCCATGTTTTGATATAGAAAATAACACTGCTACTGTGCTTCGAATTCCAAGGAGATGTGCTTGAAGACAGACAAATCCTTGTGCTGCTTCAGACTTTTTGCATACGAGACTAAGGCCTTGTAAAGGGCGCCTGAAAATTTTTCCAAGAAAAATCTTAGTCAGTTTGGAAACTGCGTCCTTACCAATTGTTATGTTCTTTTCTAGCAGCACATCATACATATTGAGCAGAGAATCTTCAAATTGCTTATTATTGAATGTGCAGTATATCATATCTCGTCCTGCTTTTGCAGCTGCTATGATTTGAATCAAACCTAAAGAACTTTGTTTTGCACAGTGTACGTGGACAAAAACAACTGGTACAACCGACTTTTCAGTTCTTTGTCTCCTCCAAACACACCACATCCCCAGCCTCCAGTTGCTATCGGTCGTGCATCGCTCTTCTCTGACATGAAACCGGAAAACGCCTAAGGGAGCAAAAATCATTCAGAACCATACAATACGCACTTATAATACCTTGTTGAGTTCTCTGTCGATATTTTTCTTCTCATATTGATGTGAACTATCGCTGAAGGGAAGAGCATCAATAGCGATTATGTCCGATATCACTCGCCTGTAAAGAGATAGCAAAGCTATGACAATTACAGATTGTTTTGGTAATGACTGTGTTATGAAGGAGTGTTTGCTTACTATTTTGAAAAATTATTTTCGCATTAGACCAACTCAGACTCCGATGATATTACAGAAGCTGTAGCCTTCTGCTGAATGCAGATGAATATTTCCATCCTACACACAAAACTCCAAAATCATAATGAAGAAATCATTATGATGCCATGCCTTTGCCTCGTGTGGTGCTTGATGAATGAACAGAAGCCAGGTTAAACATTCAGTGTTGAGTATATTCTTCAGAAAGTAGTGCTGGTATGGTGCTATAGTAAAATACAACTGCCAATCTAGCTTACAGATTTGAATACGGCTATCCACGAGTGTTGTCTGTGAAGGAATTTTTCGACTGTAGAAATAATGTAAAAAGAGCTAGTAGATTTACAAAAAGTTCTACTAATGTGAATTTTTGAGCAGGCTGTGTCTCCTGCTACTTACTGCAATTACATGACTTTGCCGAGGGTGGAGGGGATTATGTCGTCCAAAGCTTCGTTTGCGCGAATAACTGACACGGGCTTTGACGTACAGAGGTGCATGTTTTGTGTGGGGGGGGGGGGGGGGATGTCCATACAAAACCTATCTATCGATATAGCGTCCTCTACACTTTTACTGCTTTCGACAGCGCATGGAGGTAGATATTCTGCGGTATACCAACCTGAAACTATCTCGTTCTTCACAGTCGTAGCTGTCATAAGGCTTCCATTCAACAGTGGAACCTAGAACAGCAGTCATAACACATCAAAATAATCCTTGGTTGCGCCTTCAATTTCGTGATTTTGAGAATAGCTTACTGTATCCATCGTAGCCGCTGTAACGTTGTGCTCCGACGATGTGAATTGCTTCAAGGGGACCCATCTTCTCGCATAAAAGGCACGACACGATCAGTTCTGGACAAATAAGGAAGCGAATTTCCTCCTTCAAAAATAAAATGCAGGCAGAGAAATGATGGGTGGTATGCTTCCTACCTGGTCTATGGGAGTGGAGAGGATAAGGCCTCCAATCGCTTCATCGGCAAAATCTACTTGTGCACATGCAACTACGTCTTCAATCGGTACCTCAGACACTACCGCAAGAGAATGGAGCTAAAAGACATAAACTAGTGGCGCGCTGACAAAGATGATAATCTTATTCGATCCCGCTTGGCTACCTGAGATTTTTCCTCTTCCCAATTCGGGATCGCGTCTTTTTTCAAGGCTGCGCGACAAAATGAAACACAGCCTGTTGGCATCTTTTCCAGCACTAGCGAAAAGTAATGCAGCAAAAACTGCAGTCTCACATGAGATAGATGATCGGCAGTTTGGAAAATCCTGAAAAAAAGGTCAATCCAGCCAATATCGGAATTGTAAAGATCAATAACTTACTTGAAAAAATTGATCTTATTGAAGGTACTCGCTTCTTTCGGAAACGTGCAAAAGAATCCATTTGCCAGAAGACATGCACACTGCTCTTGACTAAGCGTAACGGATCCGGTTTGATCGGCTAGCAGCAGAGGCAGAGGCTAAATACTTTGTGAAAACTATCCAGTCAAAAATGACACTTTGCAAGCGCTTCAAAAATATATGGGCTTTGTATAACATGACGTATAAGCTCGAAGGATTTAAAAAGCAGAATGCACTGGGTTGTTCTAAAATTTTGGTCCGGTTTCTATTCTTGATAACTTTGTAATATGGCTTGCGTATGAAAGAGCAAAGCCTACAAGCGCAAATTCGCATTATGTGTAGCTAATTATACAATTAAGCCAAATGCCTGACTGCGCTCTAGAAAATCTACCACTTTCCTTTGCTTACATATGAACTTTCTGTATCAGATGATTATGTCAATAGCTATGTTTTTTGTGGCTAGAATTCAAGGTACAAAAGCAGGCTAAAGGACAATAATGATGCCTTTTCTGCTTTTTTGGCATTTCTGGCAAATTAGCGCACATAAGGTTAAAAATGTATGGTTCGTACATCCAAAGGTTTATGCTACTCAATCAAATATAGGCTGCTGCATGACAAAGGCGCAATATCTTTGGGCCCGAACGCGGCTTTATTAGTCGCAGAGCGCATTAGGCGCAGGATTTACAACGGTGAGGGTACGCGCGCTTCGCGTTCGCGCCCGCGCAACTTATACCGCTTCTGCGTTTTCGTCATGCAGTAGCCTCCATGTGGAGAGACCCAGCTTTGGATGGGACTAGCTACATCTTTATCGATGTCCATCCAGGGGGAAAGAGCAAGTGAATGTTTTTCACCTAAAATGGGGGGTACATGTGCTACAAAGAGTTCTTCGAAAAAATTCCAATCTAAGACGTGGTTGATTTAGCCCTTAGCTTCAAGCTTCTGCATCAAAATCAATAACGTTGTTTGGAGGCTATCTGGCAAGCTCGCTTTATCTCTTTGAAAAACACGAACAGGCCTTCAAAGTGATGCAAAACTTTTGAAATAGGATCTGACTGAATCTGACCATTATGATACGATACCGCTCGTATTTTGAAGTAAGGCCTAAGGCCCCGGACAGACTTCACGCGATTTGATCGTCGCGACTCAATCGCCGACATTTCCACTCATTTTCATTTCACATTCAAAAATTTCGGGCTGGAAAAGTATCACAACCGATGCAAGTTGATCGGCATGGAATGATGTTGTAACAGTTGACTCGTCGCGATTCAGTCGCGACGATCAAATCGCGTGTAGTCTGTCCGGGGCCTAAGGCATAACTTGCGCGATTCCGGTCGCTGCGCGATTTGGCACAATAGCGACTCTTCGTAATTCGCAGTTAATGCGCTGCCTTTGGACAGAACTTGCTCTGTTTGCAACAACTTACACAACCTACCCAAATATGCGTCCGAGAAGTGCGCATGATAAATCTATGAAAATCTGGCAAGTCGCCAAGTCGCGTGAAAGTAGCGATTCGACCGAATCGCGTGAGGTATGCCTTAGGCCTAAGACGCACAGTCGCGCGATCCATATGAAATCAACGATTAGCGGAATCTGCTCTCCTAGTGACTGCTGACTTAGACTGTCAGACTCTTGCATTGCCATAAGCCCCAGATTTTGCGTCATTTTCTGCTCCATACTTTTTCGTGCGCATTCGCGTTTGGGAACTTACAAAAGCAGAAATTCCAGAATTTCCCAGAACTTTCTGATATTGAAAAAGGTTCTCACTGCATAGGGATGGACTCAGTTAATTTCCTTCTGCCTTATTCTTCGGAATGACGCTTTCGAAAGAATTGATCACAACCCTTGTTAAGTGCATTGATCAACTCACTTCAACGATTAGTGACTTCGCTTTGACAGCTAGCTTCGCTATTCCTGTCATAGTTTCGAGAATTGTCTGCTGTTCTGTGGCAGGCTTGCTCTCCACATAATTTCGCAGACCATCGAAGGAAGGGACCCAGGAGCTGTACTTTTTTATCGTTTTCTGTAAGAAAAGAGAATATTCGTGAAGTTGCACAGGAGAGTAAATTCTGCAGATTACGTGAAAGTTTCAGCTGATGGAAGGAAATGAAAAAAGCAATTATCTTCTTTCTGCATTTTTCACAGAATTTATACGAAAGTTTGAAGTATCTCCTCACTATAATATCCTTGATACTTTTTGCACCATTGCTAGCTAAGCTTCCTAGCGCTTCCTCTATAACCGCATAGCTAAAAAGGATAACTCGCAATACTTTTCATCGAAAAGGGAAGAGGGGGCTTTTGACTAACTCACCATTGCTGATTCTTGACGACATTGTTCGTAGACCAGGGCAGTTTTGTAAATCCATTTACTCCAAAATTCAGACTTGTATCTGTGCAGTCGGTGGTTTTTGGCTTCGGTGGAGAGTCTGAGAAGAAGCTCAAAATATCAACGAAAACCCGTGCGCAATCAGAAGCAACTTTCGCTAATAGTTGTGACATCAAAGGCACAGTAGTCCTCTCCTTCCTTCAGAGCCTTCAGATCTGGCTGAAGTTCTGAACGATGCTTGGCTATTACTAGAAAGAAATGGAACTACAGTTACGGACCTATATTACAGGCTGCTTTCATCACAATTTCTTCAAAGCGTTCTTGATTGGAGGTCATTTCGGCTGAAAGAGTAAAATAGGTGCACGAGAAGTAAGGAGACGAAGCGAAAGTGCCTGCCTTATCAAGTCTTCTTTTTCTTTATAAGTACATAGCGTGAGAAAACGCAGGGCTGGTTTAGCAGTGAATCACAAGTTCGCTAGGAGAGCAAACTTTGCTTTTCATCCATTCTGGAATAAAGTAATCGATACAAGACTTGTATTGTTTCAAAATGTTTGCATTCGTTTACCATCACAAGTTTTCGAGCAGCTCTAACTTCTGAGATTTTTCAAAAGAGGAGTCTTTTTGGCTGCCACAGATGAGAATGACATTTGGGGTCGTAATAAGGAGCAAGCTGCGCCCGCAGAAAAAAGTCTGCTGAGTACACACCTTTGGCTTATTTGATAGCAATAATATTGGACTAATGGCGTCTATTCCTAATTTACAATTTCTGCAACATGAGCATAGAATCAGTCAGAGAAATTGAGGAATCGATTATTTGGAAAGAAACTCATTTGTTTATTCAATAGCTCAGAACGTGAGACTCATGGCAAAAGGAACAGCGGTAGAATTGCCAGCGAGAAAAATGGAATACCAAGGCGATGGGAACCACACTCACTGGAAGGTCCATACAACCCATGACACTTTCGTGCAGTAAGCAGCACTTTGGAATATTCAGGTTGATTCTTGATTAATGCAAAGTAAAGCAGATTTTACTGGAAACCTTTTGTAATATCTGAAAGTAATTGCGCTTTTTCTAGTCCCTCATATATACTTCCATCTTCGGAAGTCTTTATTCAAACCGAAGTTCCACGCCTTCAAAGAAGAGGTACTAAATTGAATAATTTTTCTTTCAATCTATTGATCTTGCATGAAAAACGCTCAGATTTGCTCCAAAAATAAGTGTTACAAAAAGTAAGCGTTAAAATTGCGAAAATATGTGTCATAAAATGCCTACCAAGTCCGCGCTGAGAAGCTTCGACTCGATTTGCCCGATTGCTTGTACCATTCTAAGCTGCATAAAAATCTTACAATTAGGTGAAAGCGATTGCAAAATGTTGACTCTTCGCAGATAGAGTGCATCTAATATTCGCTTCTCAGTGGAGAAATTAAAGAATTTGAAGGCAAATTTCTTCTTTTCTTCAGAATGCAGAAAAAATGGGTATAATCATATGGCGATACTTTTTCAAAAAAAATATATTGCCAATTATCCGAAAGTACCCACTTTTCGTATCGTGGAGCTTCCGCGGAATATTAGTTTCACACTACTATTTAGTCGATCATCAGCTATACAACGAACAAAGATTGCTCCATTTTAGTACTTTTAAAAGTAAGTTGGTCTCAAAACAGATTTTTTCAGATCGTAGTGAGCACAATCTTATTGAAGCATGCGTTTTATAATTAAGATTTACTGTGTACGATAGTTTTCAATGCGATCAAAGATACTGTTTTAGAAAAGAATTATTCTAATTAGAAGTTGACGATTTAAAACGAGCATTGATTATGAGTCAAGCTGATGCTTGCAGCAAGCCGTGGCGATGATGCAGTTTGAGAACAGCTTACTTTGTTCTTTTTTCTTCACTATATCGCTAAGCAACGCTCCCATAAGAACACATGAGTACGAATGCAGTAACAAATCGAAGATGGAAAAGCGGCAAATCGCTAAAAAACGAAAGCGTATGAAAAAACAACTTCAAATCAACCACTTTCAGTTTCTTCTCTTTTTGATCACGTTATATTTCGAAGATAGCGCTTTTAGACAAATTACGCTTATCAAACAATCTATCAAGCATCTTCATTTTCTTAGATAAAAATAGTTTCCTATTGTATAGATCGTTCAAAAAGTGACTGTGCATTTTTAAGCGTCGCCTTCCGCGGGACATAATTCCGAGAAGGTGATTGCAGCACTTCATTATGCTTTTTATGTTCTTCCAAATAACTCGCTTTTATCTCAGCTCAACCAAAGAATCCTCGGTAAATTCCAAAAGATGATATTGTGGAAACAGTTTTCTTTCTAAGCGATTCTACCACGGTGTCCTTTCCTTGCGTCATGTTATGTAACCCATCTACGATATTGCTGAAAAGTGAACTGTTCCTCATTCGCTTGGCCTCCGTTACTAGCTCCTTCCATGTTATCTTCTCGAGATCTGCGTTGGTACAGTCTGCCCCAATCCTAACCAGGCCAAATTCGGCATGGCGGGAGTCCGCGCCGCGAGGGTTTCGCGCCACATTTGCGGCTAGCTAGTCTGCTCTCTCCTCGATCTCTTCACTCTCTGCGACAGCGCGCGTATGCAGCGCAATCCCCTAGCGCTGCGAGCGCGCAAATTCAGCCGGCGGTTCGACCTGATCCCGATTGGGGCAGACTGTATTTGATTTCGCTCCATCCAGTGGAGCCAAAACAAAGTACCAACTAATCCCAGATCGCGAGAAGTAAAGAGGTAGCAATCTTGTGAGATGGATTGAATTAGCAATTTCAAGTTCTGTTTCCCAATTCTTAAGGCCTTATATATCTGATCTTCAACATTGCTCTTTGAAGGGAAGGGTGTCACGCCTCTTTTGTTGCTGTCTTCCACCATAATTGTTGTCTCTTTTTTTGCTTCAGAAACTTCTCTCTACGTTGATCTCTGTGCTGACGACGCAATGATCTTTCGTGACGGCGACGACGTGTTGGACACAAATCCTTCTAAAATCATATACTATGAAGAGGTTTGGAATCAAGCATCACGTTGCAGCAAGACCATTTTCATAAACATTCTTAAAATCGCAATTGCATCAAAGCAACGTAATGGAATAAGTACGGTAACTATGTCTATATCGTTTTTTGTAGCTTATGCGCACCAAGCTAGACCATTTCGGCAAACAAGACAACACGACCTTCCATATGAGTCCTATGGCATCATAAGGTAGTATGACCTTATGATGCTTGATTCAAAACATTTTTTTACAAACAGTTTTAATGATTCGACTAGTGCTTTCTCTGTAGGTGAGCAAAAACAATCGCGCGTGTTCCCACTTTCATAGGTCATGTCAAGGAAGCTTTCAAGCAAGTCTTAGAGATTGTATATTCCGCTCTCCGGCGCCGAGGCATGTCCAGTGAAGGAAAGACAAATATGTTTCGGGAGCTTGCTTGAATTTGTGAAAAGTTAAAACCAGAGAGACTTTCTCCAGACAGACAACTATCCAAGGACAACTATCTCGCATTAGTTGCATCGTATTTGGTAATTTTAGACATGAGACCTCAGACAGCGGATAGGACCCCTCCGCCGGAGAAATGGCAGGGCCGCTGGGTTTCCCCAGCTGTGGGTCTGCCACTCGTCCGCCGGAGCCCTCCCATTTCTGCTCCGGAGACCTCCCATTTCTGCTCCGGAGACCTCCCATTTTCTGCTCCGGATACCTCCCATTTTCTGCTCCGGAGACCTCCAATTTGTGCTCCGGACCCCTCCGATTTTCTGCGGCGCGGCTCTTCCAAATGGCGGACTAGCGCCGGGCAAATTTCTCCGGCGCAGCTCTGCCAAATCTGGCGTACCTCCGGAGCAGAAATGGCGTACCTTTGCAGCAGGGCCGGAGAAGCGTCCCATTTGCCTGCCAGTGATGTCACCGCGACCTACAAGAAGGGACCGCCCATTTGCCCCGCTCTCATTGGTTAACTGGGTCCGGCGCGACTCTGGCAGATTCCGACTGTCCGGCGGGGTCGGGGTCGGTCGATTGTCTGAGACAGTTCTTACAAAATATTTTCCCGAAATTTTTCGGTCTCGACAATCAAAATCTGCGTGCGTATACTCTGTAAATAAGGCGGTAAGAAAAAATGCCCTGCAAGTCTGTTTGTTGGCTGAACATGTAAAGTTCTTATTGGACAGAGTATGCGCCCTGAAGACTTCTTCGAGAAAAGTCTGACGACGGTTAGGGTTAGTAAGCGGTTAAGGTCGTAAATATTCAGCTATGTTATACTTCACTACTTCTTCGTGCTCTATGATGAACTCGAAAGTGGGAGCGATCATGTCTCAGAAAGATGTTAAAACTCGGTCTCAAAATGCGAACGTAATTTTTCCCAGAAGACAAACTCTGATAGCATTCCGTTTGAAACTGCTAGACGAGAGCTATAGATTGAATAATATCCGTTAGAGTAACAAGGAATTGATGTCTTAGGCCCCGGACAGACTTCACGCGACTTAATCGTCGCGATCTAATCGCCAAGATTTCCATTCATTTTCATTTTACATGGAAAAGTATCACAACCGAATGCAAGTTGATCGGCATGGAATGATATTGTAACAGTTGTCTCGTCGCGATTCAGTCGCGACGATCAAATCGCGTGAAGTCTGCCCGGGGCCTTAGACTGCTGGGTGACCTCATGCTAGAAGAAGTATACATGAAAAAGAAGGCAAATACGTGAAATGGCGGAAGCACTGAATATACTACAAAAAAGCAAAAGCGTTTGCGAAAACAGTTCGAAACGACAATCTAGATAAATGGCTTCCAGTTGTTTGATTCTTCTAGTTTTTCCTTGCGCTCCCTGTTGAGCTGACGTGGTTGCGACAGAATGGCCTTTGATAAACATTCAAAAATCGACCACATCTACAATACCGCTCACGATTCGACAAAAAAGTCGCCGGAATGCGCTGCAGTGCGCCGGTGTGCGCAGCACGCGCCAGAGTGCGGCAGCGACCGCCAGCGAGCAGCGGAGTGCGCCGCACATCACTAGCATCGGAATCCTCATCGCATTGCATATCTCACTGTGGAAGAATTCTGAATCCGAGACCCCCTTTCGATTCAGCTGGGCGAGACGCAGCATCTAGTGCATAGAAGTGCCACGATCTACGGGGGTTTCGCAAATTTCTGTTTGGTTGGATTGTTCAGTGTGCTGATATCCATATTGCCATTGATTTCTCGCTGATGACACAGTAGATATACTTTAGGAGTACGGTAATGAGTCGCTCTGATCGAATTTATTCTAAAATCAACTCTCAAGGAACAACACCGCTCACAGAATGTGCAAAATATCGGTGAACCTTGCGTAATCCCGGGAATTCCGCGAAAGTCCGCGATATTCCGGGAATCGCGACATTCCAGGATCAGCGGAATCACGGGAATCACGCATCTTTGTAACTTCCTTCGGAATGGAATACATTCTGAATCCGGAAGCAGCATTGTGTTCAGCCGAGGGCATGCTGTACATCAGA